CATGAGGTCGTGTTTGACAAAGTTCAAGGTCATGGCGTGGTTCAGTGCGTGACTTAATTTTCGACTGTCTGCTTGGGAAGATTTCTGGAATTATTGCAGTCGGACATCTGATCCCATCTTGTTGAGAATATTTTCGATGATTCTCAGGCATTGAAGTCTTTTGTATTAACTGTTTCTTTTGTTGTTTGGCGCTCTAAGTTGTGTTAGAGAAACTTTTGACTGTATAGCACAGGCTGTACCGTTTGAGGTATTTCATATTTTATTATAATTTGTTCCATTTCCTAAATTAGAACTGTTTAGATTGAGCACAGAGTTTGTGTTTTGATACAATTTAATACGAATGTCTAGAAAACGCTTTGTAAGCTATGCAGAAGAACGTAGTCTGGCCTATTCGAAAACATTTTGGCTCGTCAGTCTGGCGTTCAGACCGAATACTGGCAGTTCGGTTGTTACATACCTCATGTCAGACTCAATGCGAACCCGAAACCTGGAAGATTTCTCACCAATGGAGATAGACCCTGTCTTGACTACGAAATTCTGAATCCAGAATTTGACCGTAGTGACCATGGGTTGCGGTTTGCTCAACCAGAGCATTATTTTACGAGACACAATGACCAAGATCCAAGACACAAAACATGCCACAAATGTTCGAACAATCAGTGCAGTTCTGCTTATATCACTGGAAGTTTGGTGTCAATTCAACCAAGTGCATGCAACCATGTGCCTGACCTAAACAAAACCCCAAGTATATAGGTAACGAGAAACCCCTCCCCAGTTCGCGACGACTGAGGAGGGGCGCCTAAACAGTCGCTTGTTTTATGTTGGGGACAGAAACTTTGGCTTGACCTTCTTGGTAGATACTGGCGCAGCTCTTAGTATCAATCCTCGAAATAGAACTGAGCTGGGTCAAGAAACATCCCCAGCTACTCTTCAAGCTACCAATAAAACTAAAATCGCGACATTTGAAGAGAAGACTTTCACACTAGACTTGAGGTTCAGGAAGCATTTCTCCTGGGTTTTGATTGTAACCGAATTAGGTCTGGCAATACTAGGGACGGATGAACATACATCAAAGTAACTATGCTTCTGATGTCCGAACTTTAGAATTTCCCAGGCACACAATAAGCCCAGAGGGGATTACGCCTATCACAAAAGAAGTGAACAACATCAAAAAATACCTCATACCTAGTGCTGTAAAACAACTCAGAAGTTCTCTAGTTCCAATTAATTTCTATCGCACATTCATACCCGGTTGTGTACAACTAATGCAGCCTTTGACAGTTTCACTTAAAGGAACACCAAAAGAATTCAAGCTGACTTCTGAGGTTGTTGAGACTATTAAACAGCTAAAAGATAAACTGGCTGTAGCATCTACTTTGATGTATCCGAATTCCTTTTCCCCACTTGCCTTGGTGGTGAATGCTTCGGGAAAAGTAGTGGGCGGTACTATTAACCAACTGGTTAGAAACCAGCCTGAAGTTAACCGTCATAAAAATTCACCCATCGGCGTTTTCTCATAGCCAGATCCACGTTTCGCTCATGTGCATATAGACTTAGGAGGCCATTTACCGCGTCCGAATGGTTTTAATTATCTGTTTACATGTATAAATCGATTCACGGGATTCCCTATTTTCATACTGATAGTGGACATCACAACTGAAAATGTGGCTAAGGTCTTCATGCAGAACTGGGTGACCATTTTTGGTACGCGTATAACAATAACGGCGGAAAGGGGAGCACAGTTTGAATCTGGACTATTTAACAACTTAGCTAGGTTCTAGGCTCTAATAGGATACGTTGCACTGCATATCATCCTCAGGCTAATGAGATGGTAAAACGTTTCCACCGTCAACTAAAGGCTGCCCTTACATCACACTCAAATCCCAATCATTGGACAGAATTCCTACCATTATTTATGTTGGGAATACGAACATCTGTCAGAACCGACTCACAATGTTCGGCAACGGGACTAGTTTTCGGAACGACCTTGAGAGTACCGGGTGAGTTTATTAACCATAATACTAACAGCAAAAACCTTACTTTAGAGAACTACGTAAACCGAATGCGGGACCATATGTCCAGACTTAAACCAATTAGTATTCGTGGACAATGACAAGCAACATACGTACCTAAGGACCTAAGCAACTGCACTCATATCTTGATAAAATGTGACAAAAGAAAGGCTCCGATTAGCCCCCTCCATTCGTAGGTCCTTTCAAAGCCATCTCAAGGAAATCTAAATATTCCATGATAGAGGAACATGGAAACATCGACTCTGTATGTATTGATAGGTTGAAACCATCTTATCTAGATCATGAACCACCATATTGGTTGTCAGACCTTTTGCCTGACAAAACATTTACGGCATCGACAAGTAAAAACGATAAATCTTCACAAGTGGCTAAAAAGGTGAAGCCGAGTGAAGGCACACAGCCTATTACTAATTGTCACGCCCAAGTTTCTGCTCGTTCCCCTTATTGAAGTACGATATATCGATTTATTTGCAATTTACGAACCCAAATTATCAATAGAACAAAACTCCAGTTTAGGTACCAAATTTTATTCGCAATTTACAAATAGTCGACCCAAATGTCGTTCCAACAATAATAATTATAGTTACAAAACCAAACTTTAATTTTGTAAGTTCCCGGAGCAAAAACTCACAAGTACAAAACCAACAACAAAGAGAAACCGAAATCTCCGAAAATAATGATATAAACAAACAAGTTCAGAATTTCAGTGAAACAAATACATCCAAAAACAGTAAAATAAATAACATTTAATATAAAGGTTTCAATCAGACAAATATCTTCAGTTCTCCCGTGACACTAATTGCCATATTTACTTCAAGTCAATCGATCGATTTTTCCTTACGTTACCTTTGTTTTATTAGTCTGTTGATTGATGCTCACGTGTATTATCGTATTGTAATGTCGCTTTGTACTCAAAGTTTACTAACTCGACCTGTACCAATAACTAGTTGTTGTATCTAAGGTTAGCTAGTATGGCTCGTCAATAAGCTTTAGTAACATTTACATGCTTCAGTGAAATAGGGTTTTTAAAACGTCCAGCACCAGTTTATACGTAAATGCGCGTTGACTAAAGTTGCGAGAAATGAACTGAATAGTTGTCTGCATCTAGTCCTTTATCTTGTTTCTGCACTCGACATTTTACTTTATCCAAAACTACTGATTATCTCCTGTGATCTTTTCTTTTGACTATAAACTACTTAATTTCCAGTCCAAGAGTTCCATTTCCAAACAACGAAGACAAAGATCCCGAAACTTACGTTCAGTTTGGGCCATGGAGTTTCTGTATTATTAATATCGTTTCGGATTGGTCAAATGTTTAGAGCCATGTGTTTATCTGGACTCTGGATTTTTACTAAGAAAACTCGCCTGAACCATTATCGGAATTTAAATTATTTAGTAGATTTAAAGTATGGAAAGCCAGTTGTCACATTGCATAGATCGAAAATGAATCACATTAAACATGTTATATTGCAACCAGTTACTGGGTGAACGTGATGCCGATGATTTTCTCCCTTGGTTGATCCGGTAGTAGTGTCAGGATTGGAGGCGATCTATAAATGTGGATAACGGAGTTCCTAGTTGGGCGTCGACGGAGAATTCAGGTGGATTTCAAGTTGTCTAGCTATGAAATTGTGTTTAGTCGAGTGCTCCAGGGTACAGTTTTAGGGTGACTTGTTCCTGCTGTATGAATATGATATTCCTCGTCTCATATCATCGTCGGTCTTGGTATATGCAGACGACGTCAGGATGTGGGAAGCGATAAAATGTAAAGGTAATGGTTTAGAGCTCCGAAATGACGTAGTGAAATTACATGAAAAGTCTCAAACCTGTCAGTTGCCGATAAATACTTCCAAGTTCATTGTGATGCACATTAATCTACAAGGTACGGATACACATACTGTGAAGAACAGCAAGCTACCTGTTGTCCAGACACACAATGACTTAAAAGCCATTGTTAAACAAGAATTAAAAACTACTGTACATTGTAGCGCGATATCTTCAGAAGGTTTTAGAACTTTATGGTCAATATGTAGGGCTTTTATTCATGACGACGCTAAAATCTTTCTGACTTGGTATACAGTATTCGTGTGTCATAAACTGGAGTACTACATAAGAATGGCTAACCCCTACTTAAAAAAGACAGTGGGCCTTTGTCAGAGGTTCACAAAATAGCAAATAAACTGATATCCGGAAAAGCAAATCTCCCGTATGGTGTTCGACTGGTTAGACTCGTCCTAATGACATTGTCATATAGAAGGACTAGAGGCCACTTGGTTGCAGTTTTCAAATTACTTAGTAATAAGTTTGCATTTTATATGCCCGCACTTTCCTTGTTTCCCAAGACAAATAATTTACGAGAGCAATCCCAAAAAGTTCACAAACACAGGACAAATTAGTTGTCGGCTGATTTTGAACTTTCCCATCGAATCATCAAGGAGTGGAATTCATCAAGTAAACAATTGATTGAATCCACATCTGTCTACTCTTTCAAAAGAAAGTCGGATCAACTGAGAGACCATTTGTGCTAGGACGAACACAGACCACTTATCAACTTGTTCTTTCCAGATGGAAATTCAAAACATTTATTTTCTTATTTCTTGAAAGGATCATCTCATGGCGCTAATATTATAGCCTTACTACTTTTCACATGGTAACAAACCAACCTCCTACCTGATAATGTGATAGCTGCTGATATATGAAAGCCCCACTGCCGTGAAACAAACCCATTATTCCTAATTACAAAATATACAAATCCACAAATAACTACCTAGCTGACTAAATTTAAGGCAGTCTAATGGCTAGACCATCGTCTGTTGAAAATAAACACACACCTGAAGTTGCACTGAATAAAAAGAAACAAGAGCAAAAAGATCAATCGGTTTTTCAAGCTCATTGCAAGGATATTGAATATTGGATTGTTCAGATGTATTGTTTAAGACTACTTTCTAAACAACTCTCTTTCAAGACATGACGACACCCAATGAGCTAGCACAGCTTGACGTTGTTAGTAATGGAGAAACATTTCATCTGGAGGGTCATCTGTGTTCCCTTTCTGCCTTTTCCCATGTTCCTACACATCGGGATTTGCCGAAAGACAGGACATATTTTAACTCTTCTGAGAAGGTATATTTAATGTTTAATACAAGGAAATTTTATAAAATCATATTTAGTGTCTTATCAGATGTGAGATCACTAATTTATGAACTAGATGCTTTGAAGGCCTTAAACAGCTTAGCTAAGATGCCACATGATATCAGATTCAGATTTGTGTAGTAAGGACAGAAGGCCTACGGCCTATGTTATTCCTTTTCTAGTATGCTTCTGTGAGTGTCCAGTCTTCTCTTGAAAGTGTCAGTTAAAGGTGCGGACATCACTTCTTCAGGCAGCAGGTTCCAAGCATTGATGACTCGGTGTGAAAACCTGTATGCCACGGGTATTTTGTTCGTTCTTGGCTTTTCTACTCACCTGCTATGTCCTCTGAGGTGTCCCGATCTAGTGGGAAGAAAGAGAGAGAATAAGTTAGGTCCGAAATCATTTCTTAGTATTCTGTACATCAATATTAGATCTCCCCTTAGTCTGCGATAGGTCAGAGTAAAGAGGTTCAGTTTTTCAAGCCGCTGAGCGGCTCTATATGATAAACCCCGGAGTTCCGAAATTGCACGCGTAGCTGCCCTCTGTATCTTTTCTAGTATGTCTGAGTCACCTGTTGGTTATTCATTATGAATTCTTAAAAAGTTGTTGTTGCATCGAATCTAATCAACAGTATTGAGTCATAAATATATGATGACCAGAATTGATATTTTAGACTTCCCTCTATTTTCATAATCGACAGTTTATAGCTTTGTTTTCATTTAATACCCAACCTACTTACGTATTAAAGTTTGGGCATTATATTCAAATTCACATAACATGCACTCTATGTTTGCTTAGAAGTTGTTCACCGAAACAACTTGCTTATTCTTAAACTGGTCTCCTAGTTTGATGGCAGTGTTTTCTAATGTGTCAAGTATTGCGTTTTTTGGCCAACAACTTCTACATTCAATTACTTTTTGGATCGAACTGGTTAACTTGTTTTATTGTTCCATCAGTGGTTCTATAAAAACACGGGTGGTCTGAGATGATGTAACACATGCCACGAATTTATGCAATGTGATAATATCCACTCTTTTCGAAGTCTATTTTTTATTATTAGTTTCCGTACTATCATAGATGCTATTATTTTTTATAATGTACTGGCGCAAAGTACAGCATTGTAACCTAACCCTTGTTTTCCGCAAGTCACAAATCGTTCGTGATTGTCTGTAGATTTAACAAAACTGCTCCTATAGTAAACATTTTTGACATTAACCAACTGTGGCCCTAAAAGGTTGTGCTGAACGGTAACACTCATTGAGTAGCATATAGTCTTACACAAATTGAATTTATCCATCGAAACAATATTCAGTGTACTTTACAAGCGAGTTGATCAGGCTTAGAAAAGAAGTAGTAACAGCGCTTGCTAAGTTATTTTAACTCCTTTTTGCTTCAAGTTTCATATTGAGATTAAAAAATTGAAACTGTTATATCTGGACGTGAATAACTGAGTGGCTACGGTTAGAAATTATTTCTGAAATATTGTATATATACTCTTATTGTATAACCGTTAAGAAACTAAACTACATGCAGTTATATTCCTCTTATTATAAGCTTTTATTTGACTTGTTGATTACCGTTATATGATTTACTAATCTCAAGTTATCCTCAATCAATTAGTCACATTTTCTCATAGTCACAGCCACTTTTGGCTTGATCGTGTACAAATGTTATTTTCTATTTTTTGGTGTGGTTTTGCCTGTATATAAACGAAGTATGTCTGAAATATATGACTCGTATCTTGAAGGATGAGATGAGCGGTCTAAACTTAACAGGCAGTGTTAAGAGGAAAAAGAACCAATCGGAACTCTAGACTCCATGTACTGGTGTATGCGTCATTAGTTGGATAGTATAAGTCATCATATATAAATGGGCAATCGTATTTTGCGATAGTCATATAGCTAAGAGCATAAGATAAACCATAATTTAAAAATCAAATCATGTCATTTTATTACATGAGTGTTCAATAAAAGTAATTTTGGAAGATTATTATTATTTTAGAAACAAGGAAATCCTTGCATATATGATTCAATCTTTTCTAAAGAGGATGATTTCAATCCAAAGCTTCATCGCAGTGATCGCAGGCATGATAAACTTATCGGATTGGAAATAAACCAAGAAGTTAGTTAAATACTACATATTTTTTTATGACGATATGTTCCAATATTGACTTCCACATTAGAATACATAATTTTGTTTGTAAGAAATTTCCGAACAAATGTCTGGCTGTTAGCGTTTATTGAGAAACATGCAACCAGAAGTCAAAAATCTGAATGTTGCATCTTATTCAATGACTTATAACTTCACAGTTGACTTGAAGTCAAAATATGGAGGCTCATTACCATTATATTTTCCTTCGAGTATTGTAATGGTACATTTTGAAGATATTCACAAACAATATATTTTCTTTAAGTTGTATTGATGCCATTAATAACTTCAGAGGAAAAACTGAATGCGTCTGATTTACCGATGGATTGAACTTTGGAATAATTTCAAGTGTGACCAGAGAAAATCCAATTGCATATTTCGCAGCTAAATAAAGTACCACGATCTTAAGTCCCAAACATTATAGGACTGAGACCGGCTTTTTATGTTCTATAGAATATATATTACGGGAAATCAGCTCAATGTGGTACATTATTTTCAATCTAAACTTACCTTTTATCTCAAGTGCATAAAAATTAGTTTTGTTTCTAGACTCCCGGAGTTACCGAAATACGTTCTGAAACATGATTTTCTTCCGTAATTACATACCAACTCAACTACACAATGTCACAAATTGACTGAGATTGAAAATCTAAATCACTATATTCTGAGTTATTTATCGTGATCACAAGACCTAAAGATGTGTAGTAGGCTATGGCACACCAGACAACTGCTTTTTAACAGTTTGAGTTTTTAGCAGTCCGCAATCACGAACAAATATTTAATAGAGCCTGTAACTTCGGAGTTCTTACGGCGCTGAATTGAAACCTATCACTCAAAGATTTTGCCTTTAGTCGATGTCTTCGTGTTGCACAAAATTTCAAACTCTACAGATGGACGACTTGCTCCCAGGCTGTTTAAAGACATTGCCAATCACGAAGAATTCCGTAGATGTAAAGGTTACTGTTGCGAAATTCTAATGGGAGCTATTATGATTAGTATTATCACACAAAGGGACAGGGTATATAGTGTTACTATGAAAATACACACATTGAATATAGTTCACATAAACCAATACGGGAAACACAATCGTTACATTGAACAAAAGTTCAGATCTTCCAAACCAAAGTTAATACGAGATTAATGTAAGAAAATACTGACCTCAGAATATCACACTAAACGAAGCTCATTACCTGTCTCCCTAGCCGAGATTAGTAGGGAGTTGATACAAAAAATCACTAAGCCAAATAATTTCATCTTCTTATGTCGTCATATCTTAAAGCCCAATAATATTCATAACACAAAGGTGGATATCTATTGTTAAATGCTTTTGTCACATTCTTGTATTTATCTGATGATTTATGGTGTGAGAATATTATTGAGTTCACTTCTTTCAGCTGTAGGAATTATAAATTCATAGATCAATTATCATCACTGATCACTTTCTGAAGGCTTAATTTATTCATTTAAACAAATAGCCAGTTTTATCAACTTCTGAAAATCTTCTCCATAATTAAAGCATCATTTCTAATTGTTTTTTCTATAATTATCAATATAGGGTTTTGGAGATTATTAAGTTTTTGATTGACGTTAGACCACCATTGAAAACCTAGAAGCAGTGAGCGGCCGTTTAATGTTATTGTTCAACTCCTCAGCAGGGCGCATCCACGATCCCGCTAGCGAGATTTAACCCGAGGACATTTGGTCCCTTACGTGAACGCTTAATTATCGAGACCACTGAGCCAGCATACAGTGGTGTTAATATCTAATGTCAACCAATCCATCAAATTTTACGACCATCTTTCATTGTACTCAGGTAGGTACCTGTCTCTCCCCGACACGGATTAGCTCCACTGGTCACAACTTCTCACTAGAACTCGGAGAATTCCCACACGAACCTAGCCACTGATGAGCACATGAACGAAACGGTCGTCCAATACTTCCAGGTTTTCAATGGTGGCCTAATATCAATCGATTCATGATCTTCATCTTCTATAATTACTGTATTTGTTTATTGAACCTATTCAATTAAAATTCATTGATTTCATTATAGGAGAAAAGTAAAGATATACCAACACTTTCATCATCAATATATGGACATCGTTTACATAAAAATATTGAAAATAATGATCGTAAACATGTTCGAATTATGCTAGTGGAAAGTGAATTTTATCGTCGTAATGGAATTGATTTATTATAATACATAATACACTTTATATCTAAATACAATTATTTTTGTAGACATAATGCATAGAAACAACTTAATTGTGTATTAACCAATCTCGTTAGTATGTATAACATTGTTTTTTTGTTTGTTTTGCCAGTGATTTTTGTTTGATCTTACATAATATGAATTTGTTTTATTAAACTAGTTCAAAAGTTATCAATAAAAAATGTTGATTGAGATCATGAACTGTTTGATATTAGATCGTAATTGAAAACCTGGAAGCAGTGAACGGTCGTTTCATCCTATTGTGGGATTCCTCAACAGTGCGCAATCACGATCCCGCTAGCGAGATTCGACCCGACGACATTTGGTTTCGTACGAGAACGCTTAACCTTAATCAATTCATGAAATTGCGCAACTATCTTTCATTGTACTCAGTACAAGATACCTGTTTCTACTTGACATAAACTTACTCATTTCTTTGGGGTCCCATCAGCTGATTACAATCTATAAAATTTTAAAAAATCCTAGTTACAAATATATTGAGATAACTTTTGGTAAATGAGCTCATTTTGAGGGTTAGTTTGAATACTTAAAAGTAAAATGTGGTAAGGATGCATACAAATCTAAGAAACTAAAAGAAATAAAATAAAATTCATTTTATTCTGCTCGAATTGTTGTTCTTGCTGTCTATTAAATATGAAGATAAAAATAGCTTCTCAGTATGAATCAATGTAGGTAACAATTATGTTCAAAATGGAAATCTTCAATTTTGTCTGGATATATGTCAACGTTTAAAGAAACAGCCATACAAAAATGATTCGTCGAATAGGTAAAAGCATCAGACATACAATTTTAATACAGTAGTTCATAGAAAACAACAGTTTTCTAAAACAAAAACTGTCTTGACTTTTCGTCCGACAACCTAGCTCTGGCTTCTTTCCGGAAATGATTAAGAGGAACAGCTTATCAAGGTGAAATAAGGTTAAATAGGATTCATATATATTAAGTGAAGAAACATTCAACACAGAAATCTTGGAACTTAGAAATATAACTCATATTTAGTTAGTCCCGATTTGAGTTTGATAAAACATCTTAAATCATATCGTTACTGATAGCAGATTATTAACAATTAAGTGACTGCTGTGCTATATCGCAAACTGAATTTATACAGCTAATAGAGACTATTTGTAAGGCTTTGTAATTTGATACCCGTTATATAAGTTACTGACTACTCGTATTCAGAAGCTGAGTGAAAAACACACTGACCTTTGATATGACAGGTAATAGGTTGAATCTCCTTGTGATTATCAAAACTACGATCCAGGTAAATCCATCTGACGAGCTTCAAATAGGACAGAATGTGTGTCCTGATTCTCGTCTTTGGTTAGGATCCAACTGCACTACGATACGGAAGATTGTTGATCTTATTTTTGTGAAACTTAAAAGTTTTATGTGGTCACATTCAAGCATCAGTTGATAATATAAAGAAAAAATTAAATAGCTACCCAATGTCTTAAGATTCCCGGTAGATCCGTAGCACATTTTAATTCCTTTTTTAAGATTATATAGTCTAAATCTGGGCAAAAATCCTTCCCATGGTCGACAAATTGAATCATTTGTTCCGACTTTCTAACACTGTTGAATTTAGTTGACGCTAACAAAGAGCTGTGCTGTGATTATCTTATTCAAAGTACACGAATCTATCCAGAAGCCTTCTGCGATAGAAAGGATAACAATTATGAAATTTTTCTTAGCTGTCAATGTTTTAGCTCAATTGTGATAAGAGTTGGATAGGAATCCCCAACTACAATGAATGATCAACTCGCTATATCACGAATCTATCGACATTGGGAATATGCACAAATGAAATGAAGTTCAGTGGTCTAGATGGCACGATTGGGTCTTTGAGTATTGACACCTATGGCTTTTATCTCTATTATGATCGTGTTCATACTAGACCAAGATAGCTTTTCACTGGTTGATTAATTAGAGTCAGTTTATGATGAAAACCATATTCAGATAGTAACTGATCTTCGAATCCATATAATTACATGATTTATCTTTTGCCACACAACTTGATCGTGTCTATTATGAAAAATCCAGTAAGAAGAATTGTTTTTGGTTTCGAATTATCTCCTGAACGTAAGTGTATGTCGAGTATTTTATTCGATTGGCGAACACTAAAATTAACTAAACGATTTCTAACATTTTTCTCAGTAACTCACATTGTGTCATCACACTTTGTTTGGACGAGTTCGAATAATAAGATAATCATTTGTCCATGATAGGTGGTACCAAATTAAAGAACTCACGATCTTTCGTCACATAACGTATGTTATTTCAATTCCACTAATATATCAGTATTCAGTGAATAATATGAACTTCGTTTATATAATCATAAATCAATCAATCAGATGTATTGTGATCTCTGAACCCAATATCCCAATTTTGGAGAAATAGGACAAAAACTTCAAAATTTTATTACATTTTTGAGGAATTCGTCTATTTATTTATGAAAGCGGAAAATTTTGCACAAATTTCGGTGGATTTATACAAAATGCCTCCATATTTTTCGACAGATATCACAGAAGAGCCTGGCGATTATAACTACCTATAAGTTTCTACTCAGGTATTCCATTTTTTCCAGTCAATTACACACAGTGAACTCACTGCCAAAGAAACTTAACGACAACCGATCTATCGCTGTAATTAAGACTTATTCGTAACACATTAAAATGTTTATTAAAATTTAATAAATTACAAATTATTCATTAACAAATAACTTTTCCATTTCTTAGTAACGGAAGTACGTTACGTGGACGCTGAACTCTCATTCAAAATGTTCTAAAAAAATTAAAAACTTCAATCTTTAGTTAACAAAAAATGTCATGGAAACCAGCTAATCCTGAATACTATGTAAAACGTTGATGACATACTGACCATAGCCTATCGTGATGACCCAACCGAGCTATATTGGCTGGAACATATGTTCCTGTAGATTCTACAACGCCAGGCAGGTCGATTGGAGAACGGTAAGATTAAAAGCAGCAACTAAAGGTCTGAGAGCGAAGTCGTACTGCTGACAGCAGTAAGGTATTTCCCTCGGACAACCAGCATCTGCAGCGATGCTGTCTTCTCACAAGGATGGAAGGGGTTAGAAAAGGTCGACCCTAAAAATGTCACATCTCACCTTACCTCACGAATTTCCGTCTCCGGAGGTCAGGCCCTTTGAAGAACGGAGCTAACACATTAAAAACCTTCCACGAAAAAGCCGTGCGCGACCGGCCCCAAGCAGTTGTCCCTTGCGCTCTGCGGTCACGCTCCCAGGTCGTCAAGACCAACACTAATCCAATTTCCTTTTCAGGTTCCTCAAGAAATACCCTTCCACGGTGTGGGCAGCTGGGAAGTGACATCAGCCCTCATACTCGTAACAGCACACGAGACCAAGTTGGTCACACTCAAATCCCTCCTACACCTCCTCATACCTCTCTTATCTCCACGAATAACCCTCCTCACGACCCTTTATCACCTCGCATCGCCAGGGCAAACGATTCCAGTACGCCAAACGTTTTTACTGGTCTCCTGAAACCACGCTCTAAACTATACGTAGGAGCTTTTAACGTCCGGACACTGTGCCAAATAGGACAACAGGCTTCCTTAGCTAGGACTTTAGAATCTCGCGCCATCGATGTGTGCTGCGTCTCCGAAACGCGCATACGGGATCCGAGTAGCGTCATTCATTTAACCTCACCATGTCAAAGTAACGAAACAACTCGATTTACGATCAGTGGATCTGAAAGCCCTGATTCTGCTTCCTGTGGCCTCGCCGGTGTAGGTATAGCATTGAGTCCTAGGGCAGAACTAGTTCTCTTAGAGTGTATCCCAGTAGAAAATCGTTTGTGCGCTGTCCGACTAAACGGAACAGGAAGGACTCGGAAAGTTAAGGACACTCATCGTTGCCTCTGCCTATTCTCCCACTGACTGCAGCTCAGATGATGTAAAAGATGAGTTTTATAGAAAGCTTTCCGACCTTCTCCGAAAAGCCAGGCGCTCTGATATAATAATGGTGGCTGGTGACTTTAATGCTCAAGTGGGTAAACTAGGCGATAGGAAAAGACACCTGGGTAGATCTTATGTAGTCGTGGCTCAAAGAACAGATAATGGCGACCGTCTGTTGCAGCTATGTTCAGATAACCGCTTGTTTCTTGCAAATACTAAATTCAAGCATAAGCAATAACATATTTTAACATGGCGACCCCCTAATTCCTCCCAACGTTGGACCCAAATAGATCACATCGCTATCAGCCACCGATGGAGGGGCTCGATAGAAGACTGTCGCTCACTTTGGAGCACATGTTTAGATTCAGATCATGCTCTAGTACGAGCGCGTATCTATCTGCGTCTTACTGGAAGTAGAAAAGACACTGCAAGGAAACCTCTTAGGATCCTACTTAATGATAGTCAAGCTAAGAGTATATTTCAGGAACAACTAGAAAAACAGTTGTGCAGCCATGTATGTGATGCCCACTCCGAGGCAGTGTGGAATGACATCCGAAAAGCTGTGGAAACAGCAGCGATGTCTGCAAGCACGGTAAACCACAAGGTTAGGGAGAAACACGATTTCAGCAGCATCTACCGCACTGATAGATGCTTATTCCACCTGGTTCTGAACATAACGAAAAGCGGAGTCAGCTTAAGCACAAGCTGACAAGAAGTCTACGCAATGATCGTGAACAGTGGTGGGTAGCGAAAGCAAGAGAGATGGAAAAGGCAGCGGCAATAGGTAATAGCAGACAATTGTTCAGACTTGTTAAAAAAACTGGTATTAGGAAACCGACCGTTAGCGAAACACTCTCAGAGAAAGATGGACATATTATACATTCTCAGTCCAGGAGATTGGATCGATGGGCAGAACACTTTATGGATCAGTTCAACTGGCCTTCAGCCACACTTCGGTTTCCCACGATCTCCAGTCAACCTGAATGGCAAGTCTTCCGTCCCTTTACGAAGTTGAAAAAGCCATAGGAAATCTGAAACGAGGGAGAGCAGCAGGCCCTGACAGGTTTACTCCTGAGATTTTTAAGGATGGTGGTCCAGCATTAGCAGTGAGATTAACTGAGATCCTAGGTAGAATTCGGGAACTGGACGTAATCCTATCTGACTGGTCTCAATCACTGATTGTGAAATTCTGTAAGAAACGACAAAAGTCCTCTTGTGACAATCACAGAGGAATCAGTTTGACTAATATAGTGTCTAAAATATTGGCCTCAATAATACTTCGACGCCTAACTAAAGCTCGTGAAGAGCAGACTAGAGAAAACCAGGCTGGTTTTCGACCTGGACATGGTTGTATAGACCAGATATTCACACTACGTCAGGTTCTAGAACACAGACTCACGTTCAGACGCCCCACAATCGTAGTATGTCTCGACCTAAAGGCAGCATTCGACTCCGTTGATCGTGAGATTCTATGGCAGTGTTTGTCACTGAAAGGAGTACCAAAGAAGTACATTAACCTTATAAAGGCTCTCTACTCGAACACAACTGGTCAAGTGAGAGCTTATGGCGAACTGTCATCAGAATTGATTACCTCAAGTGATGTTCGTCAGGGCTGCCCACTCTCTTCATTCTTGTTTAACTTTGTCGTTGACGTACTTTTAGAGATAACACTTTTCTCATCTTAATTTCCAAGGGTTGAACTTCTACAAGCTTTTCATGCATATCTCTACATAGCTCCCCCCCAGTGTCCGGAGGTAACACTGGTTATAATAACAGCAACAAAAAAATTGTAAGAATATGGTATATACATGTATGCAAAATAATATTTACGGTAATAAACAATAAGAAAAAAACGTGGAGATGGGTATGACATGCACATTAGTAATATACAATGTGTTATTGTGTATATTAAAATATATAGCATAGATGTAGCATAGCAATAACAACCACAAAAGGAATGAAAATACGGTCATTCAAAGTCTTGATTTGCTAATAATAATAATAATAATGTGCAAAACTCTTAATAAACCCACAAGAAAAAAATTGAATTGTTTATTGTTGTGTACAATGAATAAATAATTAACTAGAGTTTACTCGTTTATTATTGTGACAAAAAAATTATTTTTATTCTGAAAAAAAACTATGGCAAAACAAGTAACTATGGAAAAATGTCACTAATTATGTACACGTGTGAAAAGAAAAAAAAATTATAGATTTTTTTGGGAAAATTGGGTGCATTTAATAGTATAGTTGTTGGGGACGATAGATCCCCAAAACTCAAATTTTGTAATTTACTTATTGATTAAATATGCAGATAGGTCAATTGATGAACTATCGATTAAATGTACGAATAGGTCAATTGATGAACTATCGATTAAATGTTCAAATAGCAGTCAATTGTTGATTAATGTTCAAAAATCTTCAATGACAATATCGATTGTAAATATTTGTATAAATACGCTTGACTTGTATGCTTGATCTGATCTGCCTGCCTGACTTGTTATCTGCTGTTTGTCTGTAGAATACACTTTCTACACCTTACCCAGACTTTTTGATCGAGTTAGCAGAGTTGGGGACAACGGACCAGAATAGACTATCGAGATTCTGAACCCTTGATCCGATCGATAAGTCACTGTCATATAATCGGCTATCACTTTGAGCCATAACAATTGGCGACGGGGTAAAAAAAATACAATCCAAAGTCATTCTGTAATTGGACAAAATCCAGTCTAATTATTCAATCAATCAGTATCCAGTTTGTCATCAGTGTCCCTGAACGACATTGGTCATTATTCATACAGTAATCTTCATTGCTGGTGCTGATCCAAAAAAATGACACTCCCTTCCGATCGATTGCAGCTGCTCTTTGAACGACATTTGGAGTTATTATTCAAGTTCCGCACGCAGCTGCTAAGTCAGTCATGCTATGAAGATGCGACGGAAGTGGATGGATTGATATCTGAGTTACACAGTGAGCTGGAAAATGACAGCAGCCTCCATGAATCCTCGATTAACTGTACTTCAAACGGAACGGCAGTCATCCATGATGCGCCTAGTGGTCCAGTCCTCTCCATTCCAGAAACATGCCCGGTAATGGACTCAAACTCTGTTATCCCCAAAACAGCATGTGCAGACGGTGACTTATCCAGCTCACAAACACACTCCCTGGCAAATGCTCATAGAATTGTCGCAATAACCACCCATGAAACAGAAAACAAATCGATCAGTACACTGAATACAACTTCTTCAAATGGTTCTCATCAGTATGCGACAGATGTTTTTGACAAATCTTATTATCAAGATTCTCTTTTACCAGAAAATATGTCAGATGCATCAAATGATGATCAAAAACTTAATACAATTTTGATAGATGCTAATTACCTTGATGATCGATTATCTACAAATAAGATTCCAAATAAATTTGGTCACAATATTTCAGAAGAATTAAACTTCGAACACCTCATATCAAGTGTCGTTCAGCCTCAAGACTTAGTCACTTTCAGTCAATTCTCTGTTCAGTGCGATAAATATGTCTTAAATAAATTCAGTTTAATTATAACGTGGGCATATGAGGATCCAACACTGTTTCGTGGGGGAGGATGGACCTGGAAAACTTAAAGTCCGGATATCAACTCCGGATCTTCTAAAAAGGGGAGGAGTGTTGGGGACGATAGATCCCCAAAACTCAAATTTTGTAATTTACTTATCGATTAAATATGCAGATAGGTCAATTGATGAACTATCGATTAAATGTTCAAATAGCAGTCAATTGTTGATTAATGTTCAAAAATCTTCAATGACAATATCGATTGTAAATAATTGTATAAATACGCTTGACTTGTATGCTTGATCTGATCTGCCTGCCTGACTTGTTATCTGCTGTTTGTCTGTAGAATACACTTTCTACACCTTACCCAGACTTTTTGATCGAGTTAGCAGAGTTGGGGACAACGGACCAGAATAGACTATCGAGATTCTGAACCCTTGATCCGATCGATAAGTCACTGTCATATAATCGGCTATCACTTTGAGCCATAACAATAGTACACTGATAATTGTCTGTTTAGATTTTTTTTGTTTTATTCAGCAAAATGTACATAGCACTTGGGTTTCTTTACAGTTCTGCCTGAACGTGTTAAACAAGTAGTTTTGGTATTCAGTTTTTTATCCCCGCTCTGCTCAAGTAGTGATTGGTGGGAGGGGTTGATTAAATGCCGTTTTATCTTCTTTGTCTAGTTGAGCTACGTAGAAAGTAGGTTTTTTTTCTATCAATAGCGATAGTCACCTTTCTTTCGCACTTGTTGATTATGAAGTGTTTATTTGTTCTTTTAATTAATTGGTATGGTCCGTCGTAAGGTTGTTTCAGTGGATTTTTAACAGCGTCAACTAGAACGAAGACACGTTTCTAGGCTTTTGTCAAGTTGTATTCGATTATTATGTTCTCGCGGCGGTATTGCATTGATTCCTTGCATTGTTTGTAGAAGTCGACTAACGAAACGACTTGGATCAGTCGGTACTGATGTGTCTGGATCTACTAAATGGCCTGGTAATGTAAGAGTTGTACCGTAAACTAGCTCAGCGACTGTGCAACCTGTATCTTTCTTTATGGTTGATCGGATTCCTAGGAGTAGGAGTGCTAATGCTTCACTCCGCTTCGATGTATCATCCTGTGCCATCAGTGAGCTTTTTAATTGGCGATGAAACCTTTTGACCAGACCATTAGCTGCCGGATGATAGGTTGTTGTTTTGATGTGGTTCATACCCAGAAGTTTTGTGGATTCTTGAAATAGGATAGACTGGAACTGGGGACCACGGTCTGCAGTAACGATGGATGGTACTCCGTAATTTGATATCCAACGGTCAAGGAATGTGGTTGCTACTGTCTCTGCAGATGTGTCAGTGATAGGACATGCTATTACCCATCTTGTGAACCTGTTCACTGCGGTGAGTATATGCGTGAATGGATTTGATGGTGGCAGTGGACCGACTATATCTAAATGAATGTGCTGGAAGCGTTTATC